TATGGTTATGTGACAACTGTCACGTGGTTTTGGTGTACATCTACTATCAACGACTCAACGGACATCAACTTTAATATTTATTAATTTTATATTTTTTTTATTGTTTTAATATACAAAATTTAATTTCTCTTTAAAATCCTACTGTGGTCCGACAATACATTGTCTCGCCCAGTAGGTTGGCGACCCTTTTCTTGTATATTTTTCAATGCGCCATGAAAGTTACAAATTTTTCGTTGCGACCAATTAATTCAATTTTTTTTTATATTTGTAACCTTTGAAGTTTAAAATACTCTTGCTAGTTTTATTATAAAAATATATTTTTAACTAACAGTAGTACAGTAAATTCGTGGCACAGTAAGAACGAGACATAGTTAGGACAAGTATACATATCAGACAGTGAGTAAAATTTGTACATAGAAGATAAGTCGTCAGGACAAATTATTATTTTTTATTTATAGTACATAAGCTTTAATTTAACATATCTTTTAAGGATGTAGTATTTCCAGAATATTTCAAGATAAAAGTTGAAAAAATTGACTTTTGTAAAAAAAGTTGCTATTTTGAATCCACCATGTGGGTAGGTAACGGATCAAAAAATGATATTAAATAAAAGTGGCTACAGTCATAAAAACACAGCACAGTGGGGTCGCGGCATAGTGGGGACGTTGCATAGTTGGGTACAGTATAGATTTAATCTGACAGTGATTAAAATCTTTATCATAAGAAACGCTTCGATGCAAATCTATAGATAGTGTTTAATTCTAAGAAATTGGTGGATAATTACAAAAGCTACATGATCTGCTATTTTCTTATATAATATCCTGAATGAAAAAGGGATTATTAAAAAATATTATTTCTCATAAAAAATCGTATTGATTCATACACTTTTCAATAAGTTATAGCATTATAAAGTTAAAAATGTAACCAACCCAACCCAACATCAACTCCTATTTCCTTAATTATATCCAGATTAGTAATTATTTTAATTATATATTATATAATTATTATAATTAATTGTTTTCAAATTATTATCGACTTTTAATATGTTAAAAGTAATCATTTTGAACCTACTTCTTTTTGTCCTTTAAAGTGAAAGTTTTAATAAAAAAAAAAATGAATTTATTACCATAACTTTAAGCTCAACTTGCAATTTTGAATTTGATATTATTAAATAGAAAATAATGAAATTGGTAGATTATTTCAAAAACAACAATAACAGTTATTCCCTTAATTTTATCCCGATTTATAATTATTATATATGAATACATAATAATTAAAGTAATTAAATTGAGTATGAAAGTGGTATATTCAATAATATAATATTGTAATTTTTACGGAGATATTATAAAAATAAAAAGGAGTTGTATATTCATATACTTTTAATGCGTATACAAATTTAAAGGAATTTATGCAATACTTTTTAATAAAAAAATTTTGTTACTTATGAATAAATACACTAAACAAAAGGAACTTTCATCAGAAAAAAAATATACTTTTCTAAATAAACTTTTCGTGATGTTTTCAAATGTGCAATTAAACTTTTTCTATTACTTCTAAGTTTTAATATTATTACTTATTATTAAAAAATAAGTATTTACATATAAAAAAAAATAATTAAGAACAAAAAAAATTGTATTAAATTAATACTGATTTTGATTTTTAATATGTTAAAGGTAATCATTTTGAACCTATTTTTTATTGTCTTTTAAAGTGAAAGTTTTAATGAAAAATAAATGAATTTGTTACCATAGCTTATAGTTCAACTTGCAAGTTTGAAATTGACATTATTAAATAGAAAAATTTAATTTTTAAGATTAATATGCAATCAGGAAATTTTATAATTACTATTTACAGTACATTTATCAGACAAATTCGATTTTTTTGCATTTTTATCGTAATAGATAACTGAAATAGAAAGAATAGTAATCATATCCTAATAACTTTTGGTGTTTAAAAAAATTCTGCAATTGAAATATTCAGAACTTAATTAATTTTAATAATTTACTTTAATTAAATGAACCAATCAAACCAAAGTAGTTAANATTTAATTAATTTTAATGATTATATGACCAAAAAAACCCACAATAAAAAAGTTGTTAAAATGATTAACTCAATTGAGCGTATTATAAAATTTTGATTATAATTGTAAAAATCCATCGTTAAATTCAGGTGAAACTAAAAATCATTTTTTTTTAAATTATGATTTATATAGCAACATATTACAAACAAATTCGGAATATTATAGACTGGTAGTAGCACACACAAATAAAGTTAAAAAATTAATAAATTACAAAGTAAAATTATTTACTATTGTATCTTTTGAATACTTTTATCATATCAAATCTAATTCGACAATAAATACTTTAAGAATATTAAAAATTAATGATTTTAATTGTTTGTATGGAAAAAGCTGGTTAAGCTACTTTTTATTTGAATAAGGAATATTTTTTTGATTTTTAAGAGTTATAACTTAAACTAATCATTAACTTAAATATCATAAACTTAAATGAATCATTTGACGTATCGTTGAAAAAAGTAGGTCTAGTGAGGGTTGGCAAAATAAATCGTAGCCAGAAAAAGAACCACATAGTAAAATAATATTAACATGAATATCAATTTCTTCTCACGAGGGGAGACTATAGTGATAAGATCCTTTATATTTATTGAAATTATTGAATCTAAATGAGATAAATATCAAACGATTTGAAAATTCTATTCTAACTCAAAAAAAAAATGCAAGATTTTAAGAGCCACAGACGGAATTTGAACATCGTACCCTAAGCGTGAAAGACACAGATGTTACCCATTAGGCAACTGTTCGTTGCTTTTGTCGCATGATAAAATTGGCTAACCCAAATTTAAAAATTATTTTCAACTTTAAAAAAGTAAAAAAATTTTAATAAGTTTAATTTCGTATGTCTTATGAACTTTATTCTATGTCAATTAAATTATATAATATTCATGAAAGTCAGTTTATTCCCCTAATAAGATATTTTAAAATAAATAAAATACAAAACCCAAATTTAAAAAAAAAATTGCATATTTTTGAATACAGTGGTCTTTTGGGCATAGAAGATTATAATTTAATAGTACATGACATAAGCTTTAATTTGATATATATTTAAAGGACGCAGTATTTCCGGAACATTTTCAAAAGTCAAGTTAAAAAAGTTAGTTTTTGTAAAAAAGTTCCTATTTTAAATCCCCCTGTGAGCAGAATAAGTGTTAGATTTTCAAAAAAAAATGATATCAAATGAAAGGGAAATATCTAAGGTTTCAATATAATAAAATATTATTTTGATTTGTTAATATTTGAAAAAGTTATGGAAGTTTTAAGAAAAAAAAACATTCCGATAGAAGGTGATTTTTATCGCAAACATTACATTTTTTTTTCGACAGCCATTTGCACATAGAAGATAAGGTGTCGGGACAAATTTTTTTTTTCATTTTATAGTACATAAAATAAGCTTTAATTTGATATATATTTAAAGGACGCAGTATTTCCAGAACATTTTCAAAAATTCAGTTGAAAAAGTTCTATTTTTTATACAATGTTTCAAAATTTGAACACCCCCTATATAAGGGGAAATTGTCCAATTTTAATAAAAAGTATGTCAAATGAATGATATACTTATGATGTATTTAGAAAAAAAAATTTGTGCTGATACATACATTTTTCAAAAAGTAGCATAATAAAGCTAAAAATGTAAAATATAAAATCGAGAATTTTCACACAAAAATAGCATCTGGTAACTATTTTCACAATGAAGACAAAATAAAATATGAAATTTTTTTTTTCAATAATGTGGGTAGGAATAGGGTCAGGTTTATAAAAAAATATACCAAATGAAAGGTAAAGACATCACGCATCTATAAAAAAAAATTATATTGATTTGATTATTTTTAAAAAAGTTATCGAAGTTTTAAGTAAAAAAAATTGAAAAAATGACAAAAATTATCGATTTTTAAATTTGTAATTTTTTGGAGATTACATAAGGGGAAATTGTCCAATTTTAATAAAAAGTATGTCAAATGAATGATATACTTATAATGTATTTAGAAAAAAAAATTTGTTCTGATACATACATTTTTCAATAAGTTATAGCATTTTTAAGTTGAAAATTAAAAATCGAAAATTTTAACGCAAAAATAGCGTTTTTTTAACTACGGCAGCCGTCAGCCGTTTAAATGTAGAAAAAAAAGTGTCGGGACAAATTTTTTTTTTNAGCCGTTTACATGCAGAAGATAAAGTGTCGGGACAAAATTTTTTTTCATTTTATAGCATATAAAATAAGCTTTAATTTGATATATGTTTAAAAGAAGCAGTATTTCCGGAACATTTTCAAAAATTAAGTTGAAAAAGTTAGTTTTTGTAAAAAAGTTTCTACTTTAAATCCCCCCCCCCATGAGTAGGTTAAGTGTTAGATTTTCAAAAAAATGATATCAAACGAAAGGGAAATATCTAAGGTTTCAGTATTAAAAAAAATTATGTTGATTTGTTGATTTTTGAAAAAGTTATGGAAGTTTTAAGAAAAAAATGACAAAATTTATCGATTTTTTACCGATTTTTAAATTTGTAATTTTTTTGGATATTTCCCCCATTTGCGGGGAACGAGGGAAATTTTTTCAATTTTTAAGGGTAATGTCTTCAACTAGATACGATTTGTGATCTTTTGANTTTAAATTTTTAAGGGTAATGTCTTCGACTAGATACGATTTGTTGACGTATTGTTAAAAGAAATCGGTCCAGTGAGAGCTGAGAAAAAGTAGTGACAGACACAAAAAAAAAAAAAAACATATCATGGTAAAATAATACCTTCTCAGTTTTGTATCAAAGCTCAAAATAAATAATTATAATGATAATGTTTTCGACTAGATACAATTTGTGTATCAATTTTCGCAAATACTATTATACTTTTAATTTAGACACTTTATCAATTCATAATACAAGGCTGAATATTAAATCTTATCACTGAAATGAAAAATTTTTTTTTACTTACAGAAAATTGCTTAGAACTAAATCTGCTATACCCAACTGTCCATCATTTTCAGTCAAACGCCATTGTGCATGTTTAAAACATATTTCATTTGCTCTTGAAGGCACTACACTCGGTTTGTCGCCTCTTAAAGTGGCTAATTTTTGTGTTGCTCGAAGCTGAGTCTCTTTATAACAAGATACCATCATATCCAGTTCTTCACTTTCTGAATTCAACTGATCTTTTAATTCATTTATCTAAAAAAATTTCATTAATTACAAAAGAAAATATTATTTAAATTATACACGTGGTTATAAACGCAACTCAAAAAAAAATTTTAAACAGAAAAATAAAATTTAATTTTAGCCGTTTTCAACGTTTTTTATGTTTTTGAAGGAGTGTCATTTAAGGAATGAAAACTTGAGCCGATAAACAGGTCATAATTTATGCAAGACCTATCCTTGTTTTAAATTAATTTTTAATAATATAAAAAATGTAGTGAATATGAATTTTTAATCAATGATAAACACCATACCAATATTTCATATAAAATATACTTATGATTATATTTGATAGAAAACTTTATGGCAATTATTTATTTATTATTAAAATGATTTTTGAGAGTTTTTTTATGATAATTTTCATATTATGTATAACAGAGTTGAATAGTTAGAAAATTAATCGGGGCGACTTTGTGAAATGATGGGACAGTCAAAAACTTACCCTATTCTAGTATTAAGATTTTTCTATAGTGAAATTGTAAATGATGTGTCAGGTAGTTTGTAATAAAAATTGATGATTTTTTTAAACTTCAACTATATGCCTTCAATTGGATGCGATTCAATTTCTTTGTTGAGCAAATTCGGTAAGCGCAAGATGTGAAACATAAAGAAATATAAAAATCCAACATAGTGAGGATAAGAATAGACGATATCTGACAGTGATTAATATCAATATCATAATAACACTTCAATGCGAACCTGTTAAATTTCTACTAGATTAAAATCAGATTCATTGATGCATAAATCAACAAAATAGGTCCATTGATTGATGTTAATTGGGCTAGAGAATAATCAACTAAAAGGTATATCTTTATTTAAAACAATAAATAGCTTAAATTCGATAACGGTCTCTACACGAAAGTCAATAAATTGGCTTCTGACATGAACAAAATTCCTTATCTACTAGATTTTTACGTGGTAAAAATTATTTGCTCTAATTATATAAAAATCGAAGTACTTATACACCAGTATTACTCACTTTAAGTTCTAATGTTTCTAATTTTGAACAAATAAAATTATTTTTAACGATTAAGAAAATTAACTAGTATTAATTCAAAACGCGTCACTTGAAAAATCATTCTCATTCTCCGTTAAACTTAAAACATCTAAAGACATTGACATAGTAATCATGATTTCACCAACAATATAATTAATTCAGCGAAAACTGCAACTTCTAAATTTTCAGTAGAAAGGAACGAAAGATCATTTTTGAATAAAAGAGTTGATATAATAAAAGAATAGAGCTAGAATGATGAGAATGAGACTTCCTATTGACAAGAAAAAAGTGAAACTACATCAGTCAATTACTCCACAACAAGATAAAAAAAAATGAAAAACAAAATTTCTAAAACTTACTTGAGTGAACTTTTTGTAACCAAAGATACTGACTATTCTCTTTGAAAAGCTACTAAACGATCAAAATGGCCTTTTAACACACGTAATGAAGATAGTACGTGAGCACAAAATAGCTGAAGTATACGCATGTTACTTAAAATACTTATGCAGTAATCTCAGACGTTACACAGACGTTTCATAAAGATTAGCACAAAGGTCTTTTTATAAAAATAGGATAACAGCTACCTAGATTGGTGCGTGTTATTAGAATCATAACTGAACGGGAGTTTCGGATCATACACAAGGAAGCTATCACTGATTGGAAAACTATAATTACAGGAGTACAAGGTAGTGTTTTTCTACCCATTCTACATTTATTTTATACTGCTGATACTCCATCTACTAATAATATGACAACTACTATGTTTAACAATATAGTAATATTAGCAAAAAGTTATAGTCAGCAGTTTGCAGCTGATAGCTTCCAAAACTTGATTAATAATCTTCTTTTGGACAAGACGCTGGAAAATTAAAATCAATAGTGACAAATTAGCTTATGTCAGTTATAAATTACGCAATAACAATAATATTTCTATTAGATGAATCATAACATTTTTTCAAAAAAAGATTCGGCAACATACCTTGGAATCCACCTAACTCACGTCTCAATTGGAGGCATCATATATATCAGAAAAGTTTGCAAGTCCGAATTTTCTTTAAAGAATACACGTCTTTATGTGGCTATTATAAAACCAATTTGAACTTATGGTACACAACTTTGGGATTGAACGTCATACACCATAGAACTTAGTTTAAAATATTTAGTTATCAATTAGGATACAGTTACATTAGTTATTATATAATATTATTAATTACACTTAAATGCAGCTGTAAATCAACACATGTTTATTCTTTATGAATTGTTATAAAACTATGTTTCATGTACAATTATTATAAAAATCGAGATTTATTTGAGCTTACATACATTAATCGTTTAGCCAAATATGATGATAACTAAATATGTTGACTCAAATTAAGTTGACAATAAATTTTATTTCAATTTATAACTGAAATTATGTTTTTTTGCTATTAATACAAACTGTGAGGTCTTTTACAAGCCGGATTAGGAGGAATCTAGGAAGGTAGTGGCGAGAACCATTTTAAGTTTTACTAGCCTACTATGATATACTTTAAATAAAAACGACCTTGTATTTAGTTTAAATTTATCTGTTTTTATATAGGGTGTTCAGTAGCATGCATGATAATGAATGTGTTAAAACTTTCATGGATTGTTTTGTTGCTTGAAGTGCTTGAGGATATATCCATATATATGCATAAACGCAAATATTCAGTTCACAATGGAAACTGAGGAAAACGGAAAATTGCCATTCCTAGATGTAATGGTAAAAAAACAGCCTAATGGGAAATTCGGCACAGGAGTGTATAGAAAAAGTACACATACAGATAGATATTTACATGCCGATTCACACCATTGCCCCTCACAGAAAATGGGATTATTACACACAATGGCAACAAGAGCTGTCAGAATAGCTGATGAAAACCATGTGAATGAGGAAAAAACATACTTACGACAAGCACTAAAGAATAATGGGTACACAATTAAAAATATTAATAAGGCAATTAAAAAAGCAGAGAAAAGAAAAAATGCAACGCGTATCATGGATGACGAAAATAATGAAGATGAAAAGAAAGGAACATTAATACTGCCGTACATACAGGGAATTACCGACCGCATATCAAGAATCGCACAAAAATTCAAATTAAGAACCGTTTTCAAATCAAACACAGTTGCAGGATCACTACTCCGAAACCCGAAAGATAAACTGCCAGAGATGCAAACACCAGGAGTATATGAAATACCGTGTTCATGTGGTAAATCTTATATTGGACAAACAGGAAGAGCTATTGCGACAAGAATAAAAGAACATGAAAAAGATGTGGAGTACCAAAGAACAGAAAAATCTGCAGTAGCTGAACATGCCAAAAACAAAGGACATGACATACAATTCGATAAAGTAAAAATACTAAACAAAGAACCTCATTTTGGCAAACGGATGTACAAAGAAGCAATAGAAATCGAAAAATGTCCGGAAAATTTTAACAGAGAAGATGGATGGAAAATCAGCAAAACTTGGTTACCTATCATACACCAGACAAAAAGGAAATTAACCAACAACACCGAAAATAATTCAATATACGAAGAGGCAACAATCAACATAACAAATAATTGCCGGTGTAGGAAAGGAAGACCGAAATGTCAAGAATGCCGTAAACAACGTTAGTCAAAAATCGAGATGTTGTCAACGACATTAGTCAAAAACCCGGATACGGTAAACAACGTTAGTCAAAAACCAGATGTTATCAATTTTATAAAAGCAGACTGTTATCAAGATAAGCCGCCAGTATAGTTGCAGTCACCGACTAGCAACCATCACTCTGAAAATGGACTCTGCAATGAGTCCGAAACGTCAGAAATCAACTGTAAACATGGATATATCCTCAAGCACTACAAGCATGCATGATAATAATAAAAATGAGAATTTTATTATTGATAAACCGGATTGTAATTCAGATGCTTCATTTAGTTCACTAAAATAACAAGTGAAAAAAATAGAAACAAATTTATTAAGACTTACGCCAAAAATTTACAAACCATCTCCAAGAAATGCTTGTGTTGTAAAAAATATCAACGACTTAATTTTCAATTTAAATCGCGAATAAGCCATAAGTTAGCAACAGTTAAAAACTATGCGATAAAAGAATTCCAATGAAGCTGAATGGTAAATTCTATAGACTGTAGTAAGATCAGCTATGATGTATAGTTCAGAGGTTGACAAATACAGTAAAGTACAGAATGAGTGTCGTAGAGATGAGTATGCTTAGATGGTTGAGAAGAGTGACTAGAGAAGATAGGATAAGAAACGAACAAAAAAGAGGAAGTACGTCTACGTGGATAAGATAAGAGGAAATAGACTTGGATTATTTGGTCATGTTATGAGGAAAAAGGAATCGAAAGTTGTAAGAACAGTTATAAAAATGAATGTTGAAGGAAGAAGAGGTAGAGGAAGACGAAAAGAGATGGAAGTATGTAATTAAATGCGATATGATAACGGTAGATGTGAGCGTAGATGACATGAGAGATCGTATCAAATGGAAGTTTAGGATAAGGGTGGCCGACGCCAAGTAATTGGGATTAAAGGAAGGAAAAAGAAGAAGATCAGATCATTAATTTGATTTTAGAAATCATTGGCTAAATCCAGTGTTACAAACGTAATAAATAACGCTTTCGAAAAAAAAAATTATTATTGCGGAGCATTCCTTGACATAGCCCAAGTTTTCGATAAAGTATGACACAAAGGTTTGCTAATAAAATTACGTGAACACTATCAAACTAATGGTGTAAACTTCTTAATCTTAAACTTATTTCACTAAAAGAAAGTTCTGTGTCATACACAAATAACTTATTAGAAAAATATAGGTATTGTATTGAGCTCTATAGTGTATCTACTCTACATAAACAGACATCTCAACCAACACTAACTCAACAACCGCTACATTTACATATAATACTGCAATACTAAAAACTCATAAAGATAAACGCATAGCTAATGATCAAATCCAAATAACTATAAATAATATATCTGGTTGAAATGTTAGAAGATCAAGTTAAACAATGAAAAGTCAATGCACGTAAATTTTACGTTACGAAAAATCTACGATATTCCAATATTCTAAATCAACAGAAAATTTTACAAAATGATTTAGTTAAATATCTAAAAATGCACCTTGACTGGAAACACCATATACTCCAAAAAAAAAAAATTGCAGATAAAAGATAAACTGCGCACACTCTATTGGTTAATTGGAAAACGTTCTGAGCTATCTTTAAAGAATAAACGTAGTGTTCGTAAAACCCATCTGGACTTACGAAATTTAATTGTACTAGAAAGTCCAACATAGAGGTTATATAACTCTGTTCAAATATCGCACTTCGTACGAGCTTCGTGGCTGTCGTACGAATATAGTGAAGGTATTCGTTGAAGAAGCCGTGCCCGGAAATCATTTGCGTGAGACGATAGATCATCTCACGTGTGTCCGGTCCACCTACCTCTCTAGACGATCAGGTCCTACGAGGAACTTGGTCCACTCACCTATCATCATCTCCTATAAGTGACGAATTCGCCACAGGAGCATGGTCGTCCTTTCAATGACCTAACCTCTAAAACCCGTCAAGCCATATGACTTGGTTTTTAATTTATAAATTTTTACAATATAAATATCATTTTATTATTGCTACACTAAATTAGGGACCACTTCACTAGAAAATCCCAATCATCTTGTATTTATATTCATAAATATTATTTTGTATGGTTGTTTACTTATTAATTGTATATTTGTTTTAAAAAAAACATCTAATTGTATTTTTTAAGATTCATAATCGTTTTAGTAAAAAATATTTAAGGTAATAATTAATTAATATATATAAGGCGTTCAGTAATTGTGGAAATGGGTTTTTATTGTTTGTAACAATTAACTTGTCTCCTTGCTTACTATACACTATATGTTTTTTAAATATTAAACATATAAAGCAAGCTCTTCAAATTCACTGCATATAGTTGACTATAACTAAGGATATTAAAAACTAATATTGTATTGTAGATTAATTTTAAATATAACAGTAACCTTTTTAACAATGATCACAAAGTAAAAAATAACATACTTGGTTTTCTAAATTTTTAATTTCATTTGATAAAAACTCATCATTTTGCCAATCCTCTTCTTTTTTTAGAAGAAAAATTTCTTTCTCCAGTCGTCTCAATTTTGCCACTAAACAGCTATAATAGAATGTTATATTTTTCCATATTTTATTATATAATATAATATAGTTATTTAGCTTATCAGTTTGTTAAATCTTGAAATAAGTTATTTAATATTAGTAGTATACTACAAAAATTAAATAAAAAAACAGTATCACAGTGGGACCACGGCACAGTATGGACGTGGCATAGTCGGGACAAGTATAGATGATATCTGACAGTGATTAAAATCACTATCATAAGAACGCTTCTGTAGATAGTGTTTAATTATAAAAAATTGATGGATAATTACAAAAGCAACATCAACTTCTATTTCCTTAATTATACCCAGTTTAGTAATTCTTTTAATTATATATTATATATTATATAATTTTTAAAATTAATTGTTTTCAAAATATTATTGATTTTGATTTTTAATATGTTAAAAGTAATAATTTTGAACCTACTTTTTATTGTCTTTTAAAGTGAAAGTTTTAATATCCTGTCAGCAAATTTTATAATTACTATTTACACTATATTTATCAGATAAGTTAGGTTTTTTTACATTTTTATCGTAATAGATAAATTTAATAAAAATCATAGTAATCAATTCTAATTAACTTTTGGCATTTAAAGATTCTACAATGGACATATTCAGAATTTAATTAATTTTAATGATTATATATCTAAAAAAACCAATAAAAAAAAAGTTATTTAATTTAGCCTATTATAAAAATAATAATTATAAAAAAATATGGCAGTATATTGCCTTTTACAAGATATTTTAAAATAAAATACAAAACACAGGATTTTAACACAAAAATAGCATATTTTTGAATACGGTAGTCTTTTGGACATAGAAGATAGGTCGTCGAGACAAATTTTTTTTTTTAATTTAATAGTACATGACATAAGCTTTAATTTGATATATATTTAAAGGACGCAGTATTTCCAGAACATTTTCAAAAATTCAGTTGAAAAAGTTCTATTTTTTATACAATGTTTCAAAATTTGAACACCCCCTATATAAGGGGAAATTGTCCAATTTTAATAAAAAGTATGTCAAATGAATGATATACTTATGATGTATTTAGAAAAAAAAATTTGTGCTGATACATACATTTTTCAAAAAGTAGCATAATAAAGCTAAAAATGTAAAATATAAAATCGAGAATTTTCACACAAAAATAGCATCTGGTAACTATTTTCACAATGAAGACAAAATAAAATATGAAATTTTTTTTTTCAAAAATGTGGGTAGGAATAGGGTCAGGTTTATAAAAAAATATACCAAATGAAAGGTAAAGACATCACGCATCTATAAAAAAAAATTATATTGATTTGATTATTTTTAAAAAAGTTATCGAAGTTTTAAGTAAAAAAAATTGAAAAAATGACAAAAATTATCGATTTTTAAATTTGTAATTTTTTGGAGATTCTCCCATTTATGGGGGACAAGGGAAGATTTTTCTATTTTTAGGGTAATGTCTTCGACTAAATACGATTTGTGATCTTTTGACGTATCGTTTAAAGAAATCCGTTCGGTAAGACCTGAAAAAAGTGGTAACAGACACAAAAAAAAAAAATAAACACATCTTAGTAAAACCAATACCTTCTCAGCTTCGCATCGAAGTTAAAAAAAATAATTTATTTTACCATAACTTTTAGCTCAATTGGTAAGTTTGAAATTGACACCATTAAATAGAAAATTATATGAGAATTAAAAAAATTGTATTGTTAAGATTAATATGCAGGAAATTTTATAATTACTATTAATAGTAAATTTATCAGAGTAACTCAAATTTTTTTGCATTTTTATCGTATTAGATAACTGAAATAGAAATAATAATAATCATTTCCTAGTAACTTTTGGTGTTTAAAAAGATAATTGAAATGTAATAAGTTAATTAATTTTAATGATTTACTTTAACTAAAAAAAATCATTCAAAACAAAGTTGTTAAAAAAATTTACTCAATTGAGCGTATTATAAAATTTTTTTTAATTATAAAAATCCATTATTAATTTAAGAGAAACTAACAATAATTTTTTTTTAAAATGATTTATATAACAACTTGTTAACAAAAAATTTGGAATATTATAATCTAGTAGTAGCACACACAAATAGAGTAAGGTATTATGAAATTACAAAGTAAAATTATTTAATTTTGTAGTTGAAACCTATCATGTCAAACTTGATTCGTCAATAAATACTTTGAAAACATTAGAAATGAATTATTTTAATTGTCTGTATGGAGTACATGGGATAAGCAACTGTTTCATTGAAAATTAGAATTTTTTTTCAATTTTTGAGGGTAATATCTTCAACTAGATACGAATTGTAGTAATTTGACGTATCGTTGAAAAAAGTAGGTCAAGTTAGAGCAGAGAAAATAAATGATAGTCACAAAAAAAATCTTCTCAGTTTTGCATCGAAGCTAAAACTTAAAATATAGTAAAATAATTTTAATATGAATAAAAAATTTCTTCTCCTGAGTGGCGACTATAGTGATGGGATCCTTGATCTTTATTGAAGTTATTGAATCTAAATGAGATAAAAATCAAAGCAGTTGAAAATTTATTCTAACTTAAAAAGAATAAAGAAAAAATTCATTGCCATACGCGGGTTGGATCTTTCTATGCTATATCAATTTTAGTTTTGATGCGAAGCTGAAAAGGTATTGGTTTTACTATAATGTGTTTTTTTTTATTTAATCATTTTTGCCTGTTACCACTTTTTCTCAGCTCTCACCGAACGGATTTCTTTCAACGCTACGTCAAAAGATCACAAATCGTATCTAGTCGAAGACATTACCCTTAAAAATTGAAAAAAATTCCCTCGTTTCCCGAAAATGGAGGAAATATCCAAAAAAATTATAAATTTAAAAATCTCTAATTTTCGAAATTTTTTTTTACTTAAAACTGCTATAACTTTTTCAAAAATAAACAATTTAGTATAATTTTTTTTTTTATATAAGCATAATGTCTTTACCTATCATATTATATATATTTATTTTTTATAAATTTTACCCTTTACCTGCCCACAGGGAGGGATTCAAAATGACAACTTTTTCAACTTAACTTTTGAAAGTGTTCCGGAAGGTCTGACACTTTTATATATAATCTTAAATTAATGCTAATGTAATATACTTTATCGTGAAAAAAAAAATTTCGGACTTTATTTTATCTTCAGGGTGAAAATGGCTACCGAATGCTATTTTTGTGTGAAAATTTTCGATTTTGTATTTTACATTTTTAACTTTATTATGCTATAACTTTTTGAAAAATGTATGGATCATTACAATTTTTATATGAGAAGTAGTATTTATATAGATCTTTCATTCGACATACTTTTTTTTTAAATCGTATCTTTTCCCTTAATACAGGGGGAATTCAAAACATAAAAATGCATATAGAAAGTAGAACTTTTTCAACTTGACTTTTGAAAAATATCTTCAGGATTAAAATGGCTACCAAATGCTATTTTTGTGTGAAAATTCTCGATTTTCTATTTTACATTTTTTACTTAAAATGCTATAATTTTTTAAAAAATGTATAGATCAACACAATTTTTTTATGAGAAATAATATTTGTTAATAATCCCTGTTTCATTCAGGATATTTTATAAGAAAATAGCAGATCATGTAGCTTTTGGAATAATCTACCAATTTTTTAAAATTAAACACTATCTAAAGATTTGCATCGAAGCGTTTTTTATGATAGTGATTTTAATCACTGTCAGATATCATTATACTTAATCCAACTATGCCACGTCATCACTGTGCCGCGACCCCCCTGTGCTGGGTTTTTTTTATTTATATAATATTTATGAAAATCTTTAATCCTCTTGTCAGGTATTTTAAAATAAAATAAAATACAAAACCTAAAATTTTACACACAAAAATTGCATATTTTTGAATACGGAAGTCATTTTTACCATGAAGACAAATCCAAGAGGTCAAATTTTTTTTTTTCAATTTTAAGTATATTATATTAGCTTTAATTTAAGATATAAATAAAAGTGTCAGTATTTCTGGAATACTTTCAAAATTTAAATTGAAAATATCCTATATTCAATACGAATGTAAAGTTTTGACCCCCCTTGTATAAAGGAGTATGAACCGATTTAAAAAAAAAGTATGTCCAATGAAAGAGATATATATAAAGTATTGATTATTAAAATTACTATAATTTGGAGGTGTGTAACTTTTTCCATCAAAATGACTTATACTTTTGAATGAGAGTGATAAGTAATAATTGCCTTATCTAATTTCTTATCATGGTATTAATGCCAAGTTTGTAATGTATACACATTATCATCATATGTATACACAGTTATCATGAAAAGATAGCGTTTTCTTCTGTCCTTTTCTCAATACGTATATCAATGTTTAATACCATAAAATAATACATGAAAATTCAAATTTTCACAAACTTTAAAACTCTACAGAATATTTACTACTGAATATTAATAAGATATTTTTTTACTAAAATTTTTCTTAAATTCTACTCTACAAAATAGCTATCTAAGATTTTTTTTTTACATTTTACTTAAAATTTTGAAAATAATTAATATTTTTAATAAAATGTAAAAAAATTAATTATTGAGATATAGCTATAGACCTAACGTATAACTATTATTTAAAAAAAAAANGATATAGCTATAGACCTAACGTATAACTATTATTTAAAAAAAGTGTCAGACTCTTCGGAACACTTTCAAAAGTTAAGTTGAAAAAGTTGTCATTTTGAATCCTCCACTGTAGGTAGGTTTAGGGTCAGATTTATAAAAAAAATATAACAAATGATAGTTAAAGACATCATACATCCATAAAAAAAAATTATATTGATCCATGCATCTTTCAAAAAGTTATAGCATTATAAAATTAAAAATATAAAAAAGAATTTTTTTACAAAAATCGTATTTTTTTTATTAACATTGTCGTCTGTTTTCACAACGAAGATAAAATTTTATCTTCAATGAGAAGCTAAGAAGGTATTGATTTTACTATGTGTTTTTTTTTGTCTTTTATCATTTTTTTATCACTCTCACTTTTTTTTTTTCTGTGTCAGTTACCACTTTTACGTCAAAATACGTCAAAAGATCACAAATCGTATCTAGTCGAAGACATTACCCTTAATAATTGAAAATATTTCCCTCGTTCCCAGTAAATGGGGAAAACCCCCAAAAAAATTACAAACTTAAAAATCACTAATTTTCGACATTTTTTTTCTTAAAATTGCCATAACTTTTTTAAAAATGAACATATCAATAAAAATTTTTTTTTTAGATCCTTGATGTTTTTACCTATCATTTGGTATATTTTTTTTATAAATCGGACCCTAAACCTGCCTACAGGGGAGGATTCAAAATGACAACTTTTCACAAAAAATTTACTTTTCAACTTAACTTTTGAAAGTGTTCCGGAAAGTCTGACACTTTTATATATATCTTAAATTAAAGCTAATGTAATGTAATGTAAAAAAAAGTTGCTATTTTAAATCTTCTCCTGTGAGCAGAATAAGTATTTTCAAAAAAATAATATCAAATGAAAGGGAAATATCTAAGGTTTTAGTATAAAAAAAAATTATGTTGATTTGTTGATTTTTGAAAAAATAATGGATGTTTTAAGTAAAAAAAATTGAAAAAATGACGAAAATTAGCGATTTTTAAATTTGTATATTTTTGGAGGATTTCCCCCGTTTAATTTTTATCGAATTTAGAGGGTAATGTATTCGACTAGATGCGATTTGTGATCTTTTGACATATTGTTCATCAAAATCGGTCGAGCGAGAGCTGAAATTGAGCGTTCAAAGACACAAAAAGAAAACATATCATAGTAAAATTAATACTTTCTCAGCTTCGCATCGAAGCTAAAAAAAATAACAAATTTGAAGAAATGAGGGTATACAATTAATTAAAGTTAATGAGAAAATTGGAAATCATAACCTGTACATTTCTATAAAATATTATAAACTACAAATACCATAATAAATGCCTAGGTTTTATTTAAGATCATTCACGTTTGAAAAACTACCATCAACACGATCAACAAAAAATTGAGTGTAATAAAACATATAATTAAGTTGGTGTATTATTAGAAGTTAATTTTGTAAATTACTTAATATAATAAGTAAAGTTCAACACAAATTGGAAATAGATTTTTCTTTGTCACTGAGGTATTGATAGATGGTTAGTCGTGATGTCTCATTACTCTTTATATAAGAAAAGGAAATAATATTTAGTAATAAATAAAATTAAAAATAACGCCGTAAAAACAAGCTAAAGATCAATAAGAAAATAAATATTTAGAAATAATAAAGAAAAAAATCATATATAATTAATAAATGTTTTTATCTTCAACAAACATTTTTTTAACTTAATAAAACCTTTAAAATTAATAAAAAAATAAATTATCAATAAAATAAAAGTTATTTTATAGGCATATACTAGGACGATTGGCTGTTTTTCAGTTTTTACTCTCTTAGTAAACATTTATAAAAAAAAACATTATTTATTTACATTAAACCTTAATCAATTTGTTTATTATTTTCTTTATTTTTATTTAAACAATTCTAAACATACGTACCGAACATGATTTTGAAGTTGTTGAATAGGTTGTCTATGATCTTGACTACTTTGTAATTGTAATTGGAAACGCATCCTCTGTAAACGTTCATAAGCTTCTTTTCGGTGGGGTTCTACGTATAGTAATAGATTATTGACAATATCCAAAATCATTGCATACTGGAAAACAGCTTTATATACCACCATTTTTGAAATTTTGAATATAATAACTATTTGTGAAATTACTTGAAGTGAATTAGTGCAAACGTCTAGATCATGATGCATTAGAGTAAACGCGTCAACAGGTTCATGCGAATCGGGATCTCCAACAACATCAAGAGTAGTGGTTGGTGGGAGAGGAACTTCAATTAAATGTGATGGATTTAAACTACTTTCTCCGTGACCCGCATAAAAGAACTCGCATTTACATCGTGACACAATCCTTTGAAGCTATTAGATAACATTTTATAAGTAAAAAAACCAATACAATGGTAAAGAAGGAGCCTTATAGATTCAAATCTGACAGTGATTGAAATCACTATCACAAAAGAATTAGATGCGATTGTACTTAAAGATGGTTTGATTTATTTAACTCTCGCGAGTTAATGATAATTTTAAAATAGTGATTTTAACATAAAAATAATATTTTTTGTATAATATTAGTGTTTTTATAAAAGACAAGTCGTACAAAAAAAAAATCTTTTTAACTTATATCATACAATATAAGCTTTATAAATATAAGGTTTGGAATATTTCCGGAACATTATAAAAAGTTAAATTGAGAAATTATTACTTTATATACGAATGTTCCAAATGTTAAATCCTGCCTGTACAAGGGAAAAATTTTTGATTTTCAAAAAATTATGTCGAATGAAAGGAAAATGTATAAAATTCTTATAAAAAGCTATGTTAATGATCCATACATTTTTCGATAAGTTATAGCAATATAAAATCAAAAAAATAACCAAAATTTTAATAAAAAATTGTTTTTTTAACTACGACCATTTGCACATAGAAGATAATAAGGTATTAAGATGATCCTCGATTTTAATCCCCCTAACGGACCCAGTTAGGATAAGGGTGGCCGAACCCAAGTAGTTGGGGTTAATACGAGTAAAGAGAAGAATAATGGTAGTGATAAATTAACCCATCAAACTAAATTTTTTATAAAATATATTAAATGAATGCTATATTAACGATTTGTTTCACTGAAACTCGATTTATCGAATTTCTCTTGCATCTTTTTTAATATCTTTAATTGCGCCACTGTAAAACTTAATAATAATAATCTAAATTATTAAAATAAAAAATGGCCAAGAATCAAAAAACTACATTAGTGTAACAAAATATTAACTTAAATATAATAAAATAAAAGAGAAGAGAAGAAAACCTGCAGAGGTGAATTTTCTCCAACATTACTAGCACCAACTGTTTCACTAACAACACCTCCAACACTATGCCCACTTCCAACAAGGTGAGGCAAATCTGGTAGATCTGATATTACAGTGCTATCAATATCTTTTTGTTGTATATTTTCCACATTTAACCACATAATATGTTCTAAAAATATTTAAATGAAGTATTATTACTAAAGTAGATGTTAATTAATTAATACCATCAAGGAAATCAGTTTTTCCCGCACTAACTGTAGCATAATATTGCATACTATCTAAGGTTCCTATCCACGTGGTTTTAGAAACTAATGATTGATCTTTCCACACTGGGCGATGAATACGTTGTAATATTTCAGCTTTTGCTGCACTTACAATTACGTATCCTTTAGTTTCACAACCTTTTAATAAAACTTGACTGTTTATTAATGCGACTAGTAAAAAAATGTAATCAAAACAAAATATTAATTAAAAATATTGAACAAAACCTTAAAATAAACTCACTTAACCAATTTTTATAAAGTACATCATCTTGATGACATTCGGATAAGCCTTGTAATCTTCTTTCTCTGGTAACTTGCATAGAAAGATCGTCACTAAAAACCACAGGTTTATTATCTACTTCCAAAATGAGTTGCTGCAACATATTGGCTGCTGGACCACCACATTGAAGTTTGGACATTGGTGATGGACTAGCTTGACAAGTAGAAGATGCAACTGAAGGCTTTGGTGTTGTTTGTTCTATAGTGTCAGCACTTTTAGTGCGATTTTTCATCGTAGAACATCCATTATCATTTAAACAAAATCCTTTTAATGCTTCAGTTGACAAATTTTTTTTTAATTTCTATAAACATTTTTAGGTTTGATTATTATAATATTATAATTAATTATTACATTAATATTTTTCACAAATTTCTGTCTATAAGGCGAGTTATAAAGATTTAATAATGCTTAAATCTACACTTTTATAGCAAAATATTTTATAATATTTAATACCTGCTTACGTATAGAATATGTACCTGTAAATTGGAAAAAAGCACAAGTCATCATGTTATTAAAACCAGGAAAGCTGCCTGAGAGTACTAGTTCCTACAGGCCGATATCACTTCTTCCTACAATATCGAAACTTTTCGAAAAACTACTTTACATTAGATTGAATTCTATTATTCAAGAACGTCAACTAATTCCTAACCACCAAATTGGATTTCGTACTAAACATTCCACCATAGATCAAGTACATCGCGTTACAAACGTAATTAGTAGAGCTATGGAGGAAAAAAAGTATTGCTGTGGCGTTTTTCTCGACGTTCTTCAGGCCTTTGACCGCGTTTGGCATGAAGGCTTACTATATAAATTGAAAAAGCAGTTGCCTCGTACATGGTGTGGGCTACTAGATTCATACTTAGTAGAAAGACAATTTCGGGTAAGTCACAAAGAAGCTGTATCTGAATGGAAAGGTATTAAAGCAGGGGACCCTCAAGGTAGTGTCCTCGGGCCTATACTTTATCTTCTTTATACATCTGATATTCCTACTTACAATAAAACAACAACAGCTATGTTTGCTGATGACATAGCTATATTGTCATGTGATAAAGACCTTTCGATCGCCACAAAAAATTTGCAAATAAATGTTGATAGTATCCTTACATGGACAAAAAAATGAAAGATACTATTAAATAGTTCAAAATCAGTACACGTGAACTTTACAAATAGAGTAACAAAGCCCAACCCGATAATGCTTGATGGTCAATTAATCCCACAAGAAAAGTCGGCAAAATATCTAGGTATGCATTTAGACTCTAAATTAAACTGGAGTATACACATTAAAATGAAATTAAAACAAATAAAACAAAAAAGAAGTAATATGTATTGGTTAATTGGCCGGAGATCACAATTATCAATAGAAAATAAAAGATTACTTTATGTATCTATCTTAAAACCAATATGGACTTACGGCATTCAACTATGGGGCTGTGCTAGCAAGTCTTGGATTGATAAAATTCAAACTATGCAAAACATTACTCTCCGTACTATTACCAATGCGTACATGTACGAAAAAAATGACAATATTCATAAGGATATGATGATACCAACCGTCAGAAAAGAAATTCAACGGTATGCCAGGGCACATGAAAATCGTCTGAAGACTCACGTCAACAGAGCTGCTGCTCAACTGCTTGATTACTCACAAAATGTTAGAAGATTAAAAATAAATAAACCATACGACTTATTATAAATGTATATTATTTAAATATTTAGATAGTGTTTAATTTTAAATAATTGGTGGATTATTCCAAAAGCTACATGATCTGCTATTTTCTTATTAATATCCTAAATGAAAAAGCGATTATTAAAAAATATTATTTCTCATAAAAAAATTGTGTTGATCCATACACTTTTTCAATAAGTTATAGCATTATTAAGTTAAAAATGTAAAAAATAAAATCGAGAATTTTCACACAAATATAGCATTTGGTAGCCATTTGTGTCACCACGAAGACAAGCCCAGAAGTCACATTTTTTTTTTTCATAATAAAGTATATTACATAAGCTTTAATTTGGTGTATTATTCCAAAAGCTACATGATCTGCTAGTTCCTTATTAATATCCTGATTAAGATAAAGTATGTCGAATGAAAAAGAGATTATTAAAAAATATTATTTCTCATAAAAAAATTGTGTTGAACCATAGACTTTTCAATAATTATTCAATTTTTAAGGGTAATGTCTTCGACTAGATACGATTTATGATCTTTTGACGTAGCGTTGAAAGAAATCGGCTCGGTGAGAGCTGAGAAAAAGTGGTAACAGACACAAAAAAAAAAAAAAAAAAAANGAAAGAAATCGGTTAGGTGAGAGCTGAAAAAAAGTGGTAACAGACAAAAAAAAAAAAAAAAAAATAAATACATCTTAGTAAAACCAATACCTTCTCAGCTTCGCATCGAAGCTAATATAAATCCAACTTTAATGGAAATCGTACGTTTTTAACATTAATGTCCGTTTTCATCACGAAGACAAGTCTATAGGTCAAATTTTTTTTTCCATAATAAAGTATATTTCATTACCTATAATTGAAGATATATATTAAAGTGTCAGACCTTCCGTAACACATTCAAAAGTTAAGTTGAAAAAGTTGCCCTTTTGAAACCTTCCCTGTTAGCAGGTAAACATGTTCACAAAAATATATCAAATGATAGTTAAATATCTAAGATGTCTATAAAAAAATTATATTGATTTAATCATTTTTAAAAAAGTTATGCCAGTTTTAAGAAAAAAAACCGATCATAGGGTGGTCGCAGCACAGCGGTGACGTGGCATAGTGGTGACGTGGCATAGTTGGTTCAAATAAATGATATCTGACAGTGATTAAAATCACTATAAAAAAAAAACGCTTCAATGCAAATCTTTAGATGGTATTAAATTTTAAAAAATTGGTGGATTATTTCAAAAACTACATGATCTCCTATTTCCTTATTTATATCTTAATTAAAATAAAGTATGTCGAATTAAAAAAGGATTATTGAAAAATATTATTTCTCAAAAAAATTGTGTTGATCCATACACTTTTCAATAAATTATAAAATTATAAAGTTAAAAATGTAAAATATAAAATCGAGAATTTTAACAAAAAAATAGCATTCGGTAGCCATTTTCACCCTGAAGATAAAATAAAGTCCGAAATTTTTTTTTTCACGATAAAGTATATTACATTAGCATTAATTTAAGATTATATATAAAAGTGTCAGTATTTCCGGAACACTTTCAAAAGTTAAGTTGAAAAAGTTGTCATTTTGAATCCCTCCCTGTGGGCAGGTAAAGGGTAAAATTTATAAAAAATAAATATATATAATATGATAGGTAAAGACATTATGCTTATATAATAAAAAAAATTATACTAAATTCTTTATTTTTGAAAAAGTTATAGCAGTTTTAAGTAAAAAAAAATTTCGAAAATTAGCGATTTTTAAATTTGTATTTTTTTTTGGAGATTTCCCGCATTTACGGGGAACGAGAGAAATTTTAAATCCCCCCCGATGAGCAGGTTAAGTGTTAGATTTTCAAAAAAATGATATCAAATGAAAGAGAAATATCTAAGGTTTTAGTATAAAAAAAAATTATGTTGATTTGTTTATTTTTGAAAAAGTTATGGAAGTTTTAAGATAAAAAAGTGAAAAAAATGACAAAATTTACCGATTTTTAAATTTATAATTTTTTTGGATATTTCCTCCATTTTCGGGAAACGAGGGAATTTTTTTCAATTTTTAAGGGTAATGTCTTCGACTAGATACGATTTGTGATCTTTTGACGTAGCGTTGAAAGAAATCGGTTCGGTGAGAGCTGAGAAAAAGTGGTAACAGGCAAAAATGATTAAATAAAAAAAAACACATCATAATAAAATTAATACCTTCTCAGCTTCGATGCGAAGCTAATAATAAATAACATTAAAAAATAATATAAAAACTCTGTTGAATATATGAAGTTATTGATAGTGATGAGTAGACTATATGATATCTTGTGTTAATGGTGGCGAACACTTGAGTATCACGAGTCAGAGTGTAGATCTAGGTACGTAATACCAGATGAAAACAGACGGCGGAAAAGCGACTACGGTAATGAAGTTATTTAGTGATGGTCAGGGACAAATCCGTGGTGGCGTGCAAGGGCACGTGATCTTTGAGTACACGGGTACAATTAACAAATAAAAAAAAAATGGCTTACAATGGCTGAACAATTTATTATTTAAGCCAAGGCGATTGCTACAAAAAAGAATGACGCATAAAACAATTGAATCACTAATTTAGGACGATGAACTGTACACGGATAATAATTGACATGGAAGCTATCGATTTGCCGTATTAGCTGGACAAAAAGGTGAATAAAGTAAAGACGCTAGAGATTATCTGTCACACGATATAATATAATCATCAACGGTGTTTGTGATAACTGGTCCACAGAAAAAAAAATCTCCATACAATCGACGGGTATTTTTTGTATATTAAAATTTATCTTAATAACTTTAAAATAAAATTCTTGGTGTGGATTTTTTTTATCATTAGTTAAATTTTAGACTCTATTGTATGATATAATATCTAACATTTTCCGAATACCTCATAGTAACATCTTTTTTTTTTTTTTTGTGTTAGACAGCTGAGCCGCTATCTAATTTTTTTATTTATAAAATAATAAAATTTACAATCTGTACATAAGAAAAGATACAATAAGCAAATACGTGAACAATATAATATAACACATTTGACTTAAAAACGGGAAAAAGGGAAGCTATCCAGTGATGGGACCCTTTTGACTTGAATTGGTTATTTAGCCATCACAATATTAATTTAAAAGGTCACGGCACCAGCGTCTTTTTAGACGGCGAGGAGGGTTGTCCGGAATTGTAACTGTATGTTGGTTAGCAATTAAAGGATTTGGATGTAGAAGTAATTTAGAGTGAAACTTTTTGTAGTATAATTTAACTAAAATATCGACTGGTTCAATGTTTAGGGTAAGATTGGAGACATACCAAGGAGCAGACGTGATTGTACGAAGGGAAATTGCTTGGAAGGCTTCAATTGTTTTAAAATGCGATGTTCTGGCACAACCCCATATTTGGGCTCCGTAAGACAAAATTGGTCTTAACATTGACTTATAAATGTATATTTTGTTATGTACAGGAAGTTTTGATTTTAATACAGGACGTAATAAGTGGGATCTAATGTTTAATAGCTTTCTTTTGGATTTGAGATGAGGACCCCAGGTTAATTTTTTATCAAGTGTTATACCAAGATATTTGACTTGAGTCGAAGAAGGGATAGGAACTCCTTGGAAGGAGTGAACAGGCATATTT